ATAATCCTCCAGAAATCCTCTGTAACGACGGCTTACAGCAACGTCATCCATGTGTTTGCAGTTGGTTTGAAGTCGACGCATACTATGTGAGACGGTGTCTCTCCTTATGTCTAAAGTTACTGCTGGTCAGAAACAAGTAATTGTCGGGACAAAAGTGTAACAGATGATCGCTGTTGTCGGTTTGTAGGCATGGGACTCAGTAAATACTCCCACGATCCCTTTCCGATTGGCTCGGCTTCCCTACATTGGCGTTAAAGTCAACTGCTTAACGAATATATCTGAGCATTTTGCTTTCCGCAGCAAAATTGACAGTCTTTCATAGAATTCATCCTTTGCATCATCCGAACTGCAATGGGTGGGTACGTAGGCGGAGGTGATGAATAGGCATCATTTGGTTTCACGATCCTTCATAGTCCTTACAGATATATTCAGTCAAACAGTACCAACACGTCTTTTGACTGGTATCCAGTCGACAAGCCCACTTTCTACTTTACAACTCAGTGCTATGCCCACACCGAGTCCACGAGATCTAGCCATTGGGTTTCCGAGTACTTTGAAGATTCACTATTATGACCAGGTGAGGTCAATTTAATAACCACACTCGGGTTCTGCATATATGTTTCAGAGATACACCATACACCCATGGCTAGAGAATCCGGAGCTTTGGCGAGTTATACTTGCTGTCCGACTTAGCATAAAGTTTGGACGTAGAAAACTTCTATATGAAACCGATGGTGGAGTCTTAAGAGACTAGGAATGAGGTTTTGATGGTTTCGGCCGTTCGCAAAGGTTGCAGAGTGAGAGGTTGGGTAAGGCGTAAGGGGCTCAATACTAGTATCAAAAGGTGAAGGTAAAGGAGACAGAGTTGAGGAGGATAAACCATGTTTGAAGCCTGCAGACGGTCGACAGTATTTGGCTGCCGACACCGTGCAAGGTTATTTATTCTCAAGGTCCTTAAGGGATAAAAGTGAAAAGATTCGTGTGACCGCAGAGCCCATAGGACATCTGCTTGAGGCCTGTCACGCACAGCCTTTTGTGCGATGTTTTGAGTTTCGGTTGTTCTGACGCCGGATAGACAGAAACCATGCTGCCAGCACTGGAAGACCATAAGGCAAGGTGGAGTGTGGTATCTTTCAGACCGACCTTCTTTAGTCCCCCCTTTCACTGGGAAGGCAACATCAGCATGGCACTCCTGGTCATTTAAGGGAAACACCTTACTGGTCACACCCCATCCAGCTAGTGGCAGTACTTCACTCCCAGACCCTCATCATAGAGTAATAATTCGCAATACAACGGTAACTTTTCCTCTATCCAACAGATTCTTCCGGCATGGCAGCGCCCCAAAGGAACACGATTTTTCACCAGCATAGCTCCTTGGGTCGATGTGATATGCAAGCTCGACCACCACGTCAATGAAGCATCTATTGACCGAGTTGCTTGTCAACTGTGCTTTTTGATTCCTTAGCAAAAAACTACTGCCACATTTCAAGACTTTCAGCTTTGTGGTAAGAGTGCGGAAGTGAAACTAGTACCAAATAGGTGAACAATCCACTTCAGGGGCTTAGTGGATTTCTGCGCACCGGACCGTGAATAGAACTCATTGTACAAGAACCAACGACACTATTTGGTTGCCTAAACCTAGGTAGATTAAGAGCAATTTAAATTCATAACTTAATGATCAGGAAAACCAAACACCTTCACCAGCACGTATCAGTCTCTAATTACATTAACCAAAGGTATTAGAAATTCATCACTCGACAATTAGTAAACATACTCCATTGTCACGAAAAAAACAAGCAACTGAACCACAATCAGTTCCCTTTTCCGGTCGCCTGGCTATGTAAAATCACCGAATTACATAGTGTCACACCGCTACCAAAATATTACGAAGCAGTGAACCTAATACCACTTCATAAATCCATCTAAGTAACGAATACAGCAACGGCTTCTAACTACCAAACTATATCAATCCACCTACAAACCAACTCTCCTGACAACCTGAAATGCTTCTCTCATCTGGTTGAATAAACTTAACTCATTTCTATCTGATACAAATTTGTGAACTAGGATATGAATTAAACTGTGTGAGTTCACGCTACCTTCATCTACTCAACATACACGATGAAAGTTTAGCAACGAGATTATTACACCAATCCTTACTTCGACAAAAGCTTCTTGTGATACCATCCTATCTTCACAGAGACATTTTACATCTTAAAAGCAACAGCAAAAACAGTGAAGCTGACTCATTGTGTTAGATACTCGATTTTCAATCGATGAGTAACGACTTCGAAACCCGCTCTAACGTCTGCACAGCTAGTATCGCAGGTCCGTATAATGAGCTTGGTTCATTGCTTGCTGTAAGAACGTGCACGTGGCTACTGGGTAGCATTTTGACTTTTTCGAAAACTTTCAGATACTGATGCATTCTTCTTTCAGAATCCGCAATGTGTAAGTTAGCTACAATGGTACGTGAGCTATGGCCATCAAGATCGTCCAGCATATATATATATATATATATATATATATATATATATATATATATATATATATATATATATATATATATAGTGGGAATTCCAATTCAAATAAATGACTGGCTGACTGACTGACTGACTGACAAAATAAACGTAGAACTTCATATAGATGTATCGGCTCAAGTTGTTACACTTTACACTTGAAACAAATGGTAAGATCTTGCGTGATGTCAATCCTAGCCACTTAGAGCACATAAAATTATCCGCATCTTGTTGTCCCATCTTAGACCTGAAGCAGACAACGCCAAACAATAATCAAGTCAATTTTTAATGCTTTCAGCGGTGGAAATTAAAGTCACCATTTAAGCAGAATGCAAAATGAAAAAACGAAGCAGAGAGCAGTAAACCTTTAAGTTGTCTCTGCCAGAACAATAAGTTTGAAAGCTCAGTATATGAAGTGAGGTAGCTACTTGTCATATAAACACGTTATTGTACGATCAATATCCAAATTTAACAAAACCCGATCAGAACTGTGAAAATAATTAAGCTAATGAGGATGGTAAGAAAGTTGTGAACTAACCGTTAAAATGGCTTTAAGTTAAGCGAAATTTAGACTCACTACTCACACTTATTTTGGACTGAATATGGATGAAACTCGAGGTCTTGCACTGAACTATAAGCTACACGTATTGTTAGTGATACTCTCCAGTTGTCCGAATCCCGGTAAGTGGAATAAGGTTAAGACTCGTAAATCGATTATTGAAAGCTGTAGCCTGAGACAATTGGGGTACAATTACGCCAGAAAAACCGTTGCATATATCTGGAACAGGCGTATTTACATGGATAATTTTACCGTTCCTGACAAAAAAGGGAAGGGACTAGAACTATAAAAACCAAGTGAGAAAGTTGTCAATAAACTGATACGACTATGGGCAATAAATTACGCTCGTAATACCAACCAGTGAACAGTACTTTTCTCCCTTGGTATATGTAACAAAAAAACAGGGACCGGTCCATAAGCTACCGATGTGTGGGTTGCTAATGCTCCTCGATTGACCACTTACAAACATTTTGAGGAGTGTGAAAGTAAAACAAAACCAGTAGTAAAAAAATGACCAGACCCCAAGATATCGACAGAGCCTGTTATAAATGGTGAAAAACTTACAGGTTAAAATGGAACTTAACTTGATTAGCTGTTCGAAAGTGGGAGAGTACCTCAAAATAGTGAACGCCACGAAATATATCAGAATAGGTCTAGATACAAACTCAGTGAAACCAACCAACTACTACTCAGTATTCAGTGTAAATGTTGACAACTTCATTCACTTCTGTGCCAGGTTCCATAGTGATTTAACTGTCTCGGTACCTGGTGCGCTCACAAACTACCTCGACAATGATAAAAACAGATAATGAAATAAAGTGCCAATATATGTATATATAAACTCCATAGTGTATTGTACGAATAGTTACGTCGTGCACTTGAAACAGTCAACTGAGAAAGATCACAACCCTTCTAGATGATTACTTTAAACTTATGATTCCATTTTACCGTACAACCTATTGAACTAACCAATGGCCTGGGATAAAAGAAAAAATTATTGAAGCGATCGATTCAGACTAACAGTATGAATAAAATATTACTATAGTGGTTGCCAAAGCGTTAAACAATAGGGAACCACTAACGTAAAAGCCATGTTGAAGGGGAAAATGATGCACACTTTAAATAAGATTTTCAGTAACAATAGGAGTGCAAGATTCTTAAGTAACGAGTAACTTATGACAATAGAGAACAGACATTATCAGCGGTCTTTTATGAATAGTTAGATGTTGACAAGCAAAGACAGACTCCCTTAACACTGTAAAAGAAGTAACAGATAACCGAATTATTTGAGCATGCAATGAGCCACTCACTACGGTTGAAAATGCAAACATTTACCACAAAGCAAAGTACTCATGAAAAATGGGTCAGAAATACATTCGAGATACGCCACATACGATCACTTACTGCATCAACAATGAAACATTCGTTGTAGGGTTTTATGACATAACAAACTGCACGATCCTATAAACCAATGAAATACTTCACGCTACTCCCCATCGAAACATTACATTGTTTAACATACTCTTGGTTTGTATTTGCACTGTTTGTCAGATGGAGCTCGAATTTTACAGAACCCAATAAGGCTAGAAAAAATGACGAGTTCCAGACACAGAGTACAGTGACTATTCGTACTACTAAAGTACAGCTGACTGTGTAAACTGGCTAGTAGCTATAGGATTCCCATATCAATAATATGGTCATCACAAATTAGTTTTACAGAATTCGCAAAAAAAAAAGTCAGATTCCTAATTCACCATCAAGATACCATGAGTTAACATAGCAGATCAAGATGTAGCTCTTAAGGGAGGAATACAAGATTGGAAAAGCCATTAATAAATACACATTCTGGACACGTATTCTAATACTGGAAATAATGCACAAAATTGTTACCTCTAGCACAAAATAAGATAACTTGGACTTACTCAGCGAATTGTTCCTGGTCCTCTGTTATATTATTTGGATTTAAAAAGCTGGTAGGTGTGACTGGCGTCGAACCATTGTTACCGAGATTTCCAAGAAGTTTCTCGAACTCTGCCGTGTCCACACCCCTTGCCGTCCAGGACTGATAGCAACCCTCCTGAGACACCCCACCACGAAATGACAGGGAGCTTTTGAATTCCGGATGATTATTCGACAAACATAATCCTAAGCTAGTTGGCCTGCTAGGTGACTGCATGATGTTAGAGATGTCGGTGCCAGCATATTGTGTAATCACATGCAAAGGCCCAGTAGATGTTACAACTTCATTATTATTTGGAGCAAATGACTCGTCACATTTGCTATCTGGCATTGGAAATCACCTGTCATCGAAGATCAAAAATACTCCCGGTCGCAGCAACACACAAAGGAAGCGCTTTGTGCGCACAAGGACAAACTGTACGCACCTCAATAAGAACGATGAGTCAGCGTCTGTAGGACCAGCCAATAGGAAGAAGAGAAACTCTTGAGTTTACTAACTAGTCACTAATTTAAACAAACTCACATTAACTCATGTAACAGCAACAAAAACACCTAAAATTTTCAAAAGCATACAATTAACATGTGAAACTGCAATGTCTTTGGTCTCTTTCGGTAAGCAATAAGATATGACACCAAGTGCTGTGATAGCCAACCTCCATATCATCACCTAGAAATAGTTTTATGATTAAAACCATGATTATTTTTGTTTCCATCGTCAGTGATTTACCTATAATACAGTCTTAGCAAGTGATTTGAAGTCGGGAGCTATGCGGTTTGATGCGCTCATAATCTCTAAGTCAAGGTTCGTGACTTTCAATGATATGGTGGTGAACAGTTTCCACTGTAATATTTTCCCCTTTGTTAAGAGTGGTTAATCGAACAACACCTGCACGCATGTTAAGCGTGATCATTCGGGAGAGACAATGATAGCTAATTTAGCCTTCAGCATGAGTGCGGATAGTCATAGTTTTATTGTATCATTGGAGATAATAAGAATTTTCCATAGTTGGTGAATACAAAATTTGTTTGAAATCTAAGCACCAGGATTCACATATACTTGATACTTAGGTGCAGATTGATACCAGGTAACAATGGTTTCGTCACCAAAATGGCCCTCAAGCCGATTTATTTGAGGGCACTACTGTATCACACTAACACTCATGACCCGGAATGCAGATACTCCATTGGCCAAGCTAATGCACACTGAAGGCCAAGTTTTAAAGGGAATAAACACTGTTTATGAAAAACCACAGTCTGAACAAAGAATATTCTTTTCAACAAATTTCCTTCAGGTTCTACAATTGTAAAATGCATTTGTACAGAGTAAAAGATAAGCTATTTCGCGCACCGGTACTTTCCAAAATAAAGTGACACTTAGGGATTGTAAGGAATCCAATTTTATCTTTAAAATTAGACAATATTGGGATGATACGCATACGCGAGAATAGTATGTCGGTGAACATGATGTTAGCGGACAAGTTAGCAGGTGTGACCTTAAGTTTGCTGAGGGTCAAGGGAGAAGTAACGCTAAGACATGTCCTTTCTGAATGCAGAGTTCCGGTTCAACCTGTCTACTATTAATAATAATATACTTCGAATAGTGGGTTAGACAAACACATGCAATTTTTACAGGCAATACCTGGATATTACTTCTTCCAATGAAGCTGAAAAAGTTTAGAGGGGAACATTCATCGTACCCTACAAAATCTAGTGGAATGAGCGATTGTTTGGAGATCGCTGGTCACAAATATTGGGTAAAAGCCATATCGTTAAACAGCAGCAGTGGGAAGTAATACGCTATACTCACCCGGCCATAGTGAGCCATATAATAGATAAGAGTATACTGCATATCGAATGTTGGGCACAAATAAAGCCGAAGATTTGTGAGTATTCAACAAACTTGCGCTGTCTGCAGATGGCATACGAAACTAGAGCTCAAATGCTGAGATGGACTGGAGAGAAAGTTGGGTCTAGTGTTGTATGGTGTCGCATAGAGTGTAGCAATTGTCTAGGCCCATAATGTTTCAAACAGTCATTTAAATAAATTAGGCCAAAGATGCAATTCCACTCGGCTGCTATCATAATATTAAAGTGGGGAATGTATGAGGTTTCTCCGCCAAACCATTCAATAAAACTTCAAGGTCGTCGCTTCGTGCGAGGTCATCTCGGTTAGCTTTGTTCCCATGTGAGTGGTTGTTAGGAGTCGAAGAACTTGCGCGCTTGGACGCAAACACCATTCATTATCCCAGACCCCATATCAGTTGCAGAAATAAATTCTGGGGGGAGTTTAGGCTGGGATGAACTGTCCTCCGGTTTCTCACATCTCTAGGTGGTAAAAGCAATAGTTCGCACATGACGGATAGAATTTCGGTGCTGAGTGTGCGCTGTTTTTATCCACCGTTATAAGCTGCATATCGGATGAGAAGGTGAAACAGAGAATCATGAGAAGTGGGGTTAGTTGTCTAAGAATTTGGAGGAGTAGCATTGAAGACTAGAGTATTTAAAGTGGAAACGAGGAATGAGGGGCTACATAGTTTGATATTCTGCTCATAGGATAACGTTGGAGTTGTGCATAGTACACCTCTTACATCCAAGTTTAAGTTGTATTACAAGTACCTGAAGATGGTGACCTTGTTTTGCATTTGGGCACCAGTAAGAACCTTGATATGCATGTGTAGGGCTGCGGGAATACAGTTACCGCGATCTCAAGGGAGGGAGGGTGTGAGGCGTATACTGGCTGTAATGACCTCAGACGAGGGTGGTTTCCATAAGTCCCCACCATCAGATATGCCATCTAATGCTGTTGAACATTTATGCACTATCTTAGTCCATCACTACCTCGCTCGTGCCATGTGCTGTCATTACTTTCCCCTGCTTAGCCTCTGCCTTCCTTGCTAACCGTGGCGGTACGGCCGACATGGGGGAGGCTAGGGGTTGTTGCACCGGTCATCAGGTACCCGACGTCACTCATAGTCTTTGTTATACTGTCAACATACATCCGGCGACCTCATAGGCTTTTGGCCGTCTCACAGATAGGGGTGGTTTCTACAAGTCCCCGCCCTCAGATCTGCCACCTCAAATTGTTAAGTTGTTTTATATTTTGAATCATCCTACGACCCGCCACCAACACTTTCATATTATGCACTATCATGGAACTTCTTTTGGTGAAACCTCTTTTCCTTTTACCAATCGCAGGGAAACCTATGATCACTACACGTTCACCCTAGTATTATAGGGGTATGCGGGTACTTATTCAACAAGATATGCATAGGGCGAGACAACAGTCAGAGAAATATGAGCGCTAGTTGCGATAGGCTGAATTTATTTACCTGGAGTGAGGAGCGAAAGATCTATTTTTCGGGGTTCAGAATGGAAAAGGTGTTAAATCGAGAGATCGATTAGGTTTGGAAGAAATGGAAGTTACCTCAGGGTAGCTACACAGTTTACTGTTGCAAATCGCGCCACACTGCACGCGGCGCTTCGTGTCTACTCTACGCCAGCTGTTTTATTGTGCGCTTAGTCTTTGACATGATATACCAATGTTCTTACCATGTAAGTCTCCCTTGGGTCTATGCACCAGTAGCGTCATTGTAAGTGGTATCACTGTTTATGAATTGGCTGTCGACGAATAGGTGAGAATTGTCAGGTAAGGGGAACTCATTAAGTAAGCGTTGAAACTGGCTGAGAGATCAGCATGCTCGTATAGAAGAGAGAAGTTTGTTCCGCGGCGTACTGTATTGCGTAGTTAAAAACCTACATTTAGGTTCTGAGCGATACCTATTTGTAAAAATGATGTGTTTGCTATTAAGGAGACTATATGCCGGTGTTGATTTAGAAGTGATACCACAGTTCATCTTAGATTTGTCAAATGAAAGACGAAAAAGAAAGGTTAAGTTGAGCTTCAGGTGTCTCAGCCAGAGTGATCTAGTTCTAGGTTTTTGCGCCTTACTTAGTAAGGAAGTCCTCCGTTATGTATAGGTAGGCACCGGGTAAAGTTTCGCTGGATGTTCTCGACTCAAATTCTATCGGACGCTTCTTATTATCACAGAAAACCGCGCAATACACTTATATTGGGCAAACCATAACTTTGTGTAGCATAAGTTTTGCCTTAGGTGTGAGTTTGCTTCTGTGAAGAAGACCTGTGAGTCTTTTTTCTTTGGAAACAACTGAATCTCTACCCTGTAATAGTCCGGCTCCTGCAGTAATTGATGACGAGGCTTTTTACAATGTGAATATCTATAGTGGGGTGTCACCCAGGTGTAGTGCCACTTCTGGCTTAGATTTGTTGAGATGGATGATGCCACTTGTATTTGGGTTTAAAGGGACCTACCGGGTCACGCTCCGTCTGAATATTCTCTTCACACCACCTTGTATTTGAGAGAAACCTCTTGCAACTGCCACGCAGTGAAATCTGTAGACTATCTTCAAGCCATCTGGGTAAAGGTTAGGTGTGTCATACGTGGTACAGACCCAAGTATGGGTTACGTAGATTGGAAAAAGTAACGGCCGTAGTACACTACTTTGGACGACATCGCTTTGCATAGTTTAGGGAAGGAGTAGCAATTAGTGAATTTCACCACTTGGGAGTGACCCTTTAAGGATGTTCTAAGCAAGGACGATAACGGGTCTTGAAAACCATATGATTTCAACTCAGTGACTAAATTTTTGTGAGGCACCTTATCGAATGCTTGCTCGAAGTCTAAGAAGAGGGTAGTTAGAAATGGGCCTTGGCCACGCCAGCATGTAACACGGTTTGGATGGCCAAAACAGTGGGCAGCGCAAGACCAGCCGTTCAAGAATCCATGCTGTGCTGGAGAGAGTAACTGGTCTGTTGTCAGCAACTTCGTTCGTAGTCACCCTTTCCATAACCCTGGATTCTGCTGGCGTGATGCTCAAAAGTCGGTAGTTTCGTGCACTGGACGTTGGTCCATATTTACGCGCGGGATATAAGTACGACAGCTTCCAGCTCTCAGGGTAGTTGCCCCTAGAGAAGGACATAGTGAAGAGCCTCATTCTTTGCATCTGCTGTAAAGTATTTTCTTGTTCATTTCACAAGTTGTGGAGTCTTCCGACGATTTTAGTAGAATTTAATGACCTCCCTTCCATATCATTCAGGATCAGTGAAATATTGTAGACTTCCCTATATATATCAGTGTGGTGATGCCCGTAAACTGGCCTCCCATATGACAAATTACCAATACGAGAATGAAATATTTATTTATTTATCATTTGTCGATGTTGACCGCGTATCCATGACTTTTGTTTTGTCCTCGTGCGCAGGGAAGTTGACAAAACGACAAATGAACAGCTCACGGACTTGTGGCTGATCGT